ATCAATGGCAAGGGGTTAGGACTAGCTGCCTCTGCCTATTCCTCAGGCTGCCCTTCTGCAGCCCCAGTGCCTCTATAGGCCTTCACCAAGGCCTGCAGCCTGGGGGTTTACCAGGCTGGAGCTCCCCAGCTCCCTTTGCCCTTCCCCAGCGCTGCTCTGCTCAGGCACCCTGTTCCCAGGCAGCTAGCCCTTCCCACTCCAGGGCTAGAGTGGGACTCCCTCAGCTTCTGGCCCACAGCCCTCTTCAGGGCCGGCTCTAGGTTTTTTGCTGCCCCAAGCAAAAAAATTTTGGGCTCCCCCCTTCTCCCCTATTGCCCCAGCCCTGGGCTCTTCCCCCCCGACCCCGCACCGCCTGCCGCCCCAGCCCTGGGTCACTGGTAACTCGCTCCCAGGGCAGGTCATCAGCATCCCGCTTATGACACTAGCAGGGGCGGAGGCTGCATCCACCCGATTCCTTCCTAGCACCCAGGGGGGCCCTGACTCCACCCGCTCCCCCTTCGCCTCCAGCTGGTCCGGCACTAGCAGGGTTGGGATAAGCAGTGGGGCTCCCGGGTTACGCCTCAGCCCAGGGTTCCACCAGCCGGGGTCAGGGGGGGAATCAGGAGGGCAGACCCAGGGGGACCGTGCCAGCAGGGCGCTGAGGAGCTGGGGCAGGGCAGCCACAGAGGGAGCGGCCAGTGGGGAGCGGAGCCCCAGAGAGTGGGACGTGGGCCCCGCACAGCAGCGCTCTGGTCACCGTTCCCCTCTATGGCCCTGCTGCTGCTCCTGGCTGCCCGCCACAGCCCCTGGGCGGCTCGGGGAGCAGGGAGCCCTGCGACACTTGCAGGCGGCTCCTCTGAGCACCCCACGGGCGGCCCCCAGCCCGAGTGTCCCGTGCTCCATGTGTCGGAGCCCACCGGTGGTGCGAACCAGAGAGGCCCCAGGGCACTGCTGCTGCTGGACCCCAGTCCCAGGGCCAGCTTGGCTACCCGCTGCGGCTCTTCCATCTGGACTTCGGCAGCAGCTTGGGGGCCAGGACAGGGTCTATCTAGGTGAGCGCCTGTAGGGCCCGCCCCGAAGCGGGGGGGAAAAAAGGATAGCCTGAATGCCGCCCCTACAAATGTGCCACCCCAAGCACCTGCTTGCTTTGCTGGTGCCTAAAGCTGGCCCTGGCCCTCTTATAAGGGACAGCTGGGCCCTAATTGAGCCGGCCACAGCTGTGGCTGCTTTCCCACAGCTTCCCCCAGCTGTTCTCACTCCATTTCCCAGCCACAGCCCTCTCCAGGGCTGCTTTTAACCCCCCTTCTGTGGGAGTGGGGCAGCTGCCCCACTACATATGAACAGAAGAGTAATGCCACAATAGTTACAGGAGACGCGTTTGCTGCCTTTACATTTCCGAAGTAATAAAACAATGCTTCTTTGCCAGTGGGACAGGACTGACTCTCCACATGATGCTGAACAGCATCGCATTCACGAAAACATAGTTGGTCCAGCACTTTTTAAGAGTTTTGCAGGAATTCCACAGATTCCAGGTGCCTTATTTCCCTTAGCTTTCTTTACATCTCTGTGGATGTCATCAGCAGTGAATTTGCCAGGATCATTTTGTGCAGAATGAGTCAACTCAGCAGTGGCCTTAATGTCAGGGTTCAAAGAAATTGGGGGTGCAATTCAGAGCTGGCTGAAACGTTCACTCCAGCATGCCATTTACTCTGCTTCTGTATCAATTAGCTGACCTGAAATGGAGTAGGTCATTCACTTGGTACAGGTTTCAGAGTAGCAGCTGTGTTAGTCTGTATTCGCAAAAAGAAAAGGAGTACTAGTGGCACCTTAGAGATGAACAAATTTATTTGAGCCCAAGCTTTCGTGAGCTACAGCTTACTTCATCGGATGCATTGGATGCTGTAGCTCACGAAAGCTTATGCTCAAATAAATTTGTTAGTCTCTAAGGTGCCACAAGTACTCCTTTTCTTTTTTCACGTGGTACAGTCTTTCTTGTCAGTGAGGTCACACAAGTGTTTATAAAAGGAGGCAAAATCATTCCTGGCAGAAGCTTTCTCAAGTGCGATGGCTGGAGTAACTGGTACAGTAACAATTTCCATACTCCACTAGAACTCTCAACAATAGCTTTAAAGTCACCAAGGAGAGTGACGATGTTGTGATTCAAGATAGGTGAAAGAAGAAAAGAGAGTTAAATATAGAACTCTGTCTTGCCTTCATCAGAAGCTTCACTAGTTGGAGTGTAGCTGAGAATAATTGTCCATCTCCCATACTTATGCTGGACCTTAGCTGTAAGCGGGCAACTGAAAATTGGTTCAAATAATCAGATTGATTTCACAGATTTCAAGGCCAGAAAGGACCATTGTGATCAGCTAGTCTGAAGTCCTGTATAATACAGGCCATAGAACTTCCACAAAATAATTCCTAGAATTATCCTTTAGAAAAGCACTCTCTCGAGTTAAAAATCGTCAGTGAAGACTCTACCATGACCATTGGTAAAGGTTAATTACACTCACTGTTAAAATTTACACCTAATTTCTCGTCTGAATTTGCCTAGCTTCAACTTCCAGCCATTCAAATGTGTTATACCATTCTCTGTTAGACCAGTGGTTTTCAAACTGCAGGTCATGACCCAGTACTGGGTCGCCGAATGTAAGGCACGGGGTTGCAGTGACTCTGGTCAGCACTGCCGACTGGCCGTTAAACGTCGCTACCTGTTCCGACACCGTGCTGCACCGTGGAAGCAGCCAGCAGCAGGTCCGGCTCCTAGGAGGGGCCACAGGGCTCCGTGCGCTGCCCCCAACCTGAGCACCGGCTCTGCACTCCCACTGACTAGTTCCTGGCCAAAGGGAGCTGGTGGGGGGGGGGGATGGTGCCATGCCTGCGGGTGAGAGCCGAACAGAAGCGCTTGCGCACCTCCACCTAGGAACCAGACCTGCTGCTGGCCACTTCCGGAGTGCAGTGCGGTCCACAGTGCCAGGAGAGACAGGAAGCCTGCCTTAGCATCACTGCTGACCAGGAGCCGCCCGAGGTAAGCCTGTGCCCCAATCTCCTGCCCCAGCCCTGCGCCCGCCCTCAAACCTCTCATCCCTGGCCCCGCCCCAGAGCCCTGACCCCCTCCCATACCCCAACCCTCTGCCCCAGCCCAGAGCCCCTTCTCACCCCCTGAACCCCTCATTCCTGGCCGCAGCCCTCACCCCTGCACCCCAACCCTCTGCCCCTCCCAACCCCAAACCCTTCATCCCCAGCTCCGTTATGTCGTGGGCATCAACAATTTTCTTCAACTGGATCACCAGGAAAAAAAAAGTTTGAAAACCATTGTGCTAGACTGAAGAGCCCATTATCAAATATTTATTTCTCATATAGACACCTACAGACTGCAATCAAGTCACCCCTTACACTTCTCTTTGTTAAGCTAAATAGATTGAGCTCTTTAAGTCTATCACTATAAAGCATATTTTCTAATCCTTTAATCATTCTTGTTGCTCTTCTATGAACCCTCTCCAGTTTGTCAACATCCTTCTTGAATTGTGAGCATCAGAACTGGATACAGTATTCCAGCAGTGGTTGCACCAGTGTCAAATATAGCGGAAAAATAACCTCTCTACTCCTGCTCAAGATCCTCCTGTTTATGCATGCCTGAATCGCATTAGCTCTTTTGGCCACAGTGTCACACTCGGAGTTCATGTTCAGCTGATTATCCATTCTGACCCCCAAATACTTTTCAAAGTCACTACTTCCCAGGACAAAGTTCCCCATCCTGTAAGTATGGCCTACATTCTTTGTTCCCAGATGTATAAATTTACACTTACCTGTATTAAAACTCATATTGTTTGTTTGCATCCAGTTTAGTGAGCAACCTAGATTGCTCTGAATCAGCGACCTGTCCTCTTCATTATTTACCAACTGCAAACTTTATTAGTGGTGATTTTATGTTTTTTTCCAGGTTACTGATAAACATGTTAAATAGTGTACGGCAAAGAACCGTGTGGGACCCCACTGGACACAGACCCATTCAATGAAAATTGCTGGTTACAGTTATATTTTAAGACCTAGTTAGCCAGTTTTTCACCCTATTAATGTGTGCCATGTTAACTTTACATTGTTCTAATTTTGTTATAAAAGTGTTGTGTGGTACCAAGTCAAACGCCTGACAGAAGTCTAAGTATATTATCAAAAAGAAAAGGAGTACTTGTGGCACCTTAGAGACTAAGCAATTTATTTGAGCATAAGCTTTCGTGAGCTACAGCTCACTTCATAGGATGCATGTAGCTGTAGCTCACGAAAGCTTATGCTCAAATAAATTGGTTAGTCTCTAAGGTGCCACAAGTACTCCTTTTCTTTTTGCGAATACAGACTAACACGGCTGCTACTCTGAAACCTAAGTATATTATGTCAACACTGTTACCTTTATCAATCAAATTTATAATCTCATAAAAAACCCCATCAAAGTTAGGATCTATTTTTCCATAGCCCCATGTTGATTTGTATTAATTACATTGCCCTCTTTTAGTTCTTTATTAATTGAGTGATGTATCAGCCACTCCTTTATCTTGCATGAGATCAAGGTCAGGCTGACAGACCTATAATTACCTGGGTCATCCCCGTTTACCCTTTTTGAAAATTGGCATGACATTAGCTTATTGAAAATCAACATTAATGGTCCAGTTAAATCCATTTGGCCAAATCCTCAGTTTTGTGAACATGATATTTAACAGGCATCCAACTTCTTCCTTTCTCATATCCCAAGCAGCTGATCACATAATATAGCAGTTGCTTATTCTTTCCTCACTGCAGTAAGAAACAAATGTAGGGTGGTTTTTTTTTGAATGCTCTAATTTCTACAGGGGTTAAATGCATTATCTCCAAATGATATCAGCATAAAACACTTATGTCCAGCATTATGATGATCAAACATGTCCATAAATCCAGCATTATGCACAATGATCATAAATAGCTCCAGAGCACTTTCTCTCACTGTGTCTGAAATGTTTCAGGCACCAACCTTTTTGCAAACAACTTACCTTGAAAGATTCAGTTGCTTGCTTTGTGGCTCCCCCTGTACATCCTCCAGCTGGGCACTCATTCTGACAGCCCTGCAAGAAATAAAAAGCAGGAGATACCAAATCAAATGCATGTTGCAAAGAGACAGATACCTAGTCAATTAATATTTTGCATGATAGAAATCAAAAAGTATCAATCAGCCTTCATCATCACTTGATCAGAATAAGAATATTAGTCACTGTATTTTCCACCATCCTCCTGTTTTGGTTTGTTTTTTGTTTTTGTTTCAATTGAGTTATTTAACACAACTGCATTTCTGGGCTTTAGCAAGACTGGTTAAATCCCACATTAGCCTTATATGTCTCAGGGTCACAGTCCGAGAACAAAAGTGCAATTGTTTCACTTAAAGCTGAATAAATACTCTGGGATTTTACACAATTATATCAGGTCACTGAATCCCCTTTAGAGGCAGACACCTCAGCCTTCTGGTTTCCTCTGTGCCTTTATTCAGTGAAAATGACTTGGCAGGGGAGGGGACGGTAGAGAGGGAGGAAACATCTTCTCCAAACCATACTTCCTTAATTGAATGAGATAAGCGGTAACGAACGTACATCCACAAAAACAAAATTAGTCATGAATATATACGCTATTTCTCTTATAGCCATTGTGTGTCTTTTAAGGACTCCACAAATGAGTGGGATATTAGCCAGCTATTGAAGGAAAGGGGAGCGATGGTGCAAATTGGAAGAGTAAGCCGACAGGTGCATGACCTGTGAAAGCAAATCATCGAGCAGAAGCATCCCATGTCCTCAAAGCAGCTTCCATGTTGCTTTCTTAGCATCCTCTCCCTGCCAGTTCTACAGCATTCTGGTCGCAGACATGAAACACACATTACAAACAGCGGCACCGAGGTAAAGAGGAGGGGGGGAATCTGACATGCCTTTCTGGCTTTGCTCATTTGAGCTAATCAGGACTTTCCAAGACAGTGCTGGAAAGATTAAAGGATGCAGGAAGGCTTTGTGGGCAGGGATCACAAGGGTGGAATATTTGGGGGATGGGCACTCGGAAGGCTCTGGTGCTGAATATACAGGAGGGCGGTTGAGGGAATATCAGTAAAATGCACAGGAAGATGAACAGGAGGGAACGGGCATTAAGAGGCTTGAGTGCTAGAATGAACGTGGTATGGGGAGGAGGGGGTTAAATGACAGAACAATTAGGTGAAAAGGGGTTTTGTGCTAGGATCATCTGGGGGAGGGGGATACCAATGCTGGAACGTTTAAGGGCCGGGAGGAGGGGAAGTTAACCTCTCTCTCTCGGATCAGACGCGTTCTCCCTGTTTCTCTCTTGCGCCCAAAAATAAACGAAGAAAGCCATGCAAAGTGGGAAATACCTGGCAAGAGAAGGCATCGGCTGCTCCCTGCTCAGCTGTCAGTGCGCTTGCCATGCTGCCGGGTGAGCGTGTACAGTGCACCACTGAGGCACTCTCTGCTACCCAGCTGAGGATCAGGAGCAGCAGTAGAGCTACACCACGGCTGAAGACCAAGCCCCTAATCATGCCAATGCGCTGCAAGTAACTACCTGACGTAAGATTTAAACTGCAACACTGTGTTGTCGGAGAGGCCAGCTCAGTGCCTGGAGGGCAAGGGGGTCACTCGTGTATGCTGGTAAAATATAAACTAGCCCCACAATGTTCTCTCATTAAAATATCCACATACTCCCACATAACGCTCTGCTCAGAAGACAACAATGATGTACCTGTAACTACTCATCCCAGTTATTAAACCAAGAGACAGGTACTGTTGTGTCAGGAGTTATGGCAATTTGCATAAATAAGACATTAAGGAGGGAGGGGATGATGTAGGAAAATTTAAGCCCCTGGTAGAAACCAGGTGCCAGCAAAATCCTTCATCATCAGATTGAAAGAGCCTTAAAATTAATCCCCACTTGTGAGAGAGTCTCCCCTACCCCAGATTTGTGAGATTTGGCAGAGCTGTTTATAACCTGTAGACCATGCTCTGTGACACAAGAGCCTCAGTTGTGATAGGACATTAATTTCCATCATAAGTCTGGTTCTGAGTGGTGTGTAATTCAGAACTGCATGTGTAGGGCCCGATCCTGCTCCCTTGTAGCTATGGGAATTTTGCCACTGCCATCAGTAGTAGCAGGATAAGGTATGGTCTAGCCTTTATAACTTATACAGACACAGGAGAGGGGACCAGGTGAAGGACTATGTTAATCATTTCAATGTAGCTTAATATGTAGCTTAAACTCCTTCAACCAAAGAGTACTGAACTCGAAGAACAGCACACTGTGTGTCTCTGAAGCACAGAAGTTGAAGGAGAGTTTAGTAGTGGAGAGACTAATACAGTGTTCTTTCACTTTTGCAGGCCTGTGGTTTGTTTATGGGTTAGAATAGATCACAAATGAATAGGAATGTGGTGGTCTCCAGTAAACCCTTAGTGGATGACAGTCTGCAACAAAGCCATCCCCACGGGGTTCAGGAAGCTTGCACCTCCATCTGCCCCAGTAACCGTATACAATACTTTGCCCCTTATGCTCATCCTCTTGCTTGTCCTCATCCTTAACCTCAATTCTCTCCTCTGCTTCCTTCCCCTCTGTCACACCACAGCTCTGCCATGGAATTACATGGGTCACACAGTCATTTAAGATCAGTAAGAGGAGGATTGCAGATACTTTCCAAGGAAGAACCCACAATGGGAGAAAAATGGCACATCACCAACACCAGTACTAGCTCTTCCTCTGCCTGCACCTGCGCTGGCCCTGGCCAGACTGACAATCTGACCCTGGAGGCTTCTACTGAGGTCCAGGTCTTGACTTCCTGGGAATGCAGCCTGCATGTCCCTGAAGAAGAAAGTGAGGCAGGGAGAACCACCTCATGTGAGAGGTGTCTGTTGCTGGCATCCCTCAGGAAGCAGGTAAGAGAGCTGCAGGAGGATGTGGCTCATCTGCATAGCATCCAGGACCATGAGGACTTCATCGACAGGATGTACATGGAGTCATCCGGGACAGACGATACAGGCTGACTACAGAAGCACCAGAGAAGAAAGGAGAACCGACTGCTGTGCAAGAAGGAGATTGGCTGCATTGCCACCTTGTGCAACAGACAGTGCTTCACCCTCCACCCCACCCCAGGTCCCCTGTTCATTGCAGTCAAGAACCACTATGCTGTACTGGCAACAGGAGGAGAGGAGCAGACCCCAATGATTGAGGAGGAGCCACCTGCCCCCATGTCTGGGAGGCTCATGGCCACTGCATCCAACAGGAGGAGCCATAGGGTTCTGGTGGTTGGGGACTCCATTCTGAGGGGGCACGGAGGCATCCATCTGCTGACCTGAAATCCTGGGAGGTGTACTGCCTGCCTGCAGTCTACATCCAAGACATCACAGAAAGGTTACTGTGGCTCATCCACCCCTCTGACCACTACCTCATGCTGCTCATCCACATAGGCACTAATGATAGTACCAAGTATGACATCTGCCCCTGAGCAGATCAGACCATCAAATCAAGAGGCGATGGTGGAGGAAGCATTTCTACAACAGACAACAGAAATATCCAAAACACAAGACCTGGTATCAATGGGGAAATTTAACTACCCAGACACAGCAAAACACAAAACGTTCAATAAATTCTTGGAATATATTAGGGACAACTTTCTGTTTCAGAAGATGGAGGGAGTAACCAGGCGGACAGACATGTGAGTCTTGATTCTAACTAATAGGGTGGAATTGGTTGCGAGTCTGAAAGTTGAAGGCAACTTGGGTGAAAGTGATCATGAAATGATAAAAACAAAACAAAAACAAAACAAAAAACAGGAGGAGTCCTGGTTGTTTTTGCTGATACAGACTAACATGGCTACCACTCTGAAACCTGTCATGAAATGATAGAAATTATTCTAAGGAAAGGAAGGAGCGAGAGCAGCAAGATAAGGACAATGAACTTCAAGAAAGCATACTTTAACAAACTCAGAGAACTGATGGGTAAAGTTTCCTGAGAAGAAAATATAAGGGGAAAAAGTAGTTTAGGAGCGCTGGCAACTTCTCAAAGGGACAATATTAGAGGCAAATAGCAAACTATTCTAATATGAAGAAAAGATAGTAAGAGTATATGCCTCTACCAGGAGCTTTTCATAGACCTTAAATCAAAAAGGAAATTTACAAAAAAATTTGAAAACCATGGACAAATTGCTAAGCAGGAGTACAACAGAACAGCACAATCACATTGGGGCAAAAATCAGAAAGAAGAAAAGTGAAGATTTACTTAGTGGGGAAGGAGAGCTAATTGATTACGTCAAGAAGGCTGAGGTGTTTAATGCCTATCTTGCTTCAGTCTTCACTAAAAAGGTTAATTGTGACCAGCGGCTTGATTAATATTAACAACAAGCCGGAAGGAATGGAAACTAAAATAGTGAAAGAACAGATTAAAGAATATTTAGGTAAGTTAGACGTACTCAAGTCAGCAGGGCCTGATGAAATCCATCCTAAGGTACTTAAGGAATTAGCTATAGCAATTTTGGAACCATTAGCGATTATTTTCGAGAACTCCTGGAGGACAGGGCAAATACAGTACCTGTCTCTAAGAAAGTGAATGAAGAGGACCCAAGGAATTATAGACCAGTCAACCTAACTTCAATTCTTGGAAAGATACTGGAACAAATTATTAAACAATCAATTTGTAAGCGCCTAGTCAATGACAGGGTTATAAGGAATAGCCAACATGGATTTGTCAAGAACAAATCATGCCAAACCAACTTATTTCCTTCTTTAACAGGAGTACTGGCTTAGTGAATGGTGGGAGCAGTAGATGCGCTATATCTTGATTTCAGTAAGGCTTTTTAAACAGTTCCACATGACATGCTCATAAGCAAACTAGGGAAATGTGGTCTAGAGGAAATTACCGTAAGTAGGTGCAAAAATAATTGAAAGATCATACTCAAAGAGTTGTCATCAATGGTTCACTGTCAAACTCCACACAAACTTCCTCATCGCTGGACTTTACGAAAACTAGACAAGCCATTTACAACACACACTTTGCTTCTCTACAAAAGAAAAAGGACACTAAACTTTCTAAACTA